TTTTAATCATTTTAATCCTTATTTACACTTTCAGTTTCTCACACTGAGAAACTATTTGGTATTTACACATGTGTGTCCTATTTATTTCCTTATTGCATGTTATTGGTAAACAATATGGAGATTTTTCAAAAAACTAAGAATAGATACACCATTTAATCAAGAGGTATGTGGAGGGGGAGGGGGTTTCAAAAATGAATTTAGAAATGTAATGTACATATGCCAACTCCCCATGATGAATGTAAACATAAGGCACTACAAACATGTTATAATAAAAATTTAAAAATACAAAACAAGTGATTATGGGAAATGGATCCAACAGCTGCTAAATGACACAAAAAAAATAATAATTTAAGTATAATGGGAATTATAGGAAAATTACAAGATGGCTCAATGGAATAAAAATTTCTTTAAAGAAATCATAGCAAATTCCATCCCAAAACAACAGCACAAATATTCTCAGCTGCATATGGAATTTTCACAAAATAGGCCATATATTAGCCCATAAAGGATGCTTAAGTAGATACAAAAGAATCAATTTTATCCCATGCACGTGATCAGATCATAATGTAATAAAACTAAAAATTGATGTCAAAAGAAACCACAGAAATTATGCAGACACATGGATATTAAGCAATGCACTCTTGAATAATCAGTGGGTCACAGAAGAGACTAAGGAAAAAATTACACATTTTGAAAATCAAATAATGTCACTGTAACACACAAAAAGACATGAGTCTGTAGGGGCAGATTAGAGAGACATGAAAAACACAGAACAAAATACAGATGACCAACACTGAAAAATCATCACATGCTTGTCTGTGGCTGATGATTGTAAGACATGATTATCATGTACCACATGCTTTATAAAATGTACACTACTATATCCTTTATGAAAGTTTTACTCATACATACAGTATGCTGACCTTGCCCTTTTCCTAGAAACAAATCCTAAGACCCTAATTGGGCTAGCCCATACCAATCAACAAAAGTTTGCCCCTATAAGTATGGACACATCTCATATTCACCTACTCACCAGGTCATCCAGAATGGGATGACCCCTATCTTGCAACACCATTCTGTGAACAATATAGTTCTTCTTTTCTTTCTTTGCATTTGCCATGCTTTAAATAAACTTCAGCTTCACAATATACCTGTTCTGACTCTCCTATTTTCTGCTAAGAGCCACAATTCTTCATTCTTCACTAGAATGAGGACAAGGATCCAAAGAGAGGTGGAAGGGTCAGTACAAGTGACTGTTAGCCCCTGTGTTTCCCAAGATCCTCCACCTGAAACAACAAGCAAAATGAAAGGAGTTCTACGAGGGAAGTTTTTGGCTGTGAGTGATCATATCAGGAAAAAAAACAGCAAGGCCAAAAAACTTAATGATGAACTGCAAAAAAATAAACTTTACAGAAAATTGGAATAGATGGTCTCTATCTCAACCTGATAAAAGCCATCGATGAAAAACCAACAACAAATATCATACCAAAATGATCAAAACTAAGTTCCTTCACATTAAAATCAGAAACAAGACAAGGATGTCCAATATCACCACTCATATTCAAAATAGTTCTTGAAACATTAGCCACAGCAATTAGACAAGAGAAAGGAATAAAAAGAATAAAGTTATGAAACAAAGAAGTTAAATTTTCATTAATTGCAGATGACATGATACTCTATATAGAAGACCCCAATAACTCCACCAAAAGTCTTCTAGACTTAATAACCAAATTCAGTAAAGTAGCTGGATACAAGGTCAACACACAAAAATCAATAGCCTTCCTGT